CCGGAGAAGGCACCTCTGCTGAGTGTACCTTTGTAAATATAATGCATGGTTTAAAAGCAAGTGTGTTTAATGATTAATTTGCCCTGAAGACTGCCTGCTGCCTTGCTGCCTGCAAGCTGAATTCTGTTGCCCCGCCCTGCGTGAGTGATCTCTCACACCAAACCGGCAGGCCCTCAATATAAGAGGCAAAATGCGATCTTGTACCGAAAGCACCTGTGCTATGTAATGTTAACAGCTTGGTTCACTGTGAAAGAATCTACCCACTGTTCTCTAAAATGTGTCTTTTTAAATACTACTCTCCCTTTTTTTCCTCCCTCAGCTGCAAATGTTTCTATGCTCCCCATATCATCTCCGTCCCAGAAGCTAGTGCAGATAAGAAGGCAAAAAAAACGCACTCACGATGAAATGTTCTCTGAGCTCATGCAGTCCTCCCGCACTGAAACAGCCCAGCAGAATGCGTGGAGGCAGACACTGTCAGAGTGCAGGAAGGTAGAAAATGAACATGAGGACAGGAGGGACGCACAAGAGGACAGGTGGCAGGATCAAGATGATCGGTGGCATCAGCGTGATGAAAGGAGGCAGGAAGCAATGCTCAGCTCTACTGGAGGATCAAACTGATATGTTCCGGCGTCTGGTGGAGCTGCAGGAAATGCAGCAGGAGCAGAGACCGCCGCTACAGCCCCTGTGTAACCACCCACCCTCCTCCCCAAGTTCTATAGCCTCCTCACCCAGACACCCAAGAACACAGTGGGCCAACGGGCACCGAACCACTACACCCCAAAGGACCGCCCAAGCGACAGAAGGCTTGCCTTCAATAAGTTTTGAAGTGCAGTGTGGCCTTGTCCTTCCCTCCTCCCCCACCCCTCCCGGGCTACCTTGGCAGTTATCCCCTCATTTGTGTGACAAAGTAATAAAGAATGCATGAATTTGAAACAATAATGACTTTATTGCCTCTGCAAGAGGTGATCGAAGTGGGGAGGGTGGTTGGCTTACAGGGAAGTAGAGTGAATCAAGAGGGCGGGTTTTCATCAAGGAGAAACAAACATAACTTTCACACCGTAGCCTGGCCAGTCATGAAACTGGTTTTCAAAGCTTCTCTGATGCGCAGTGCACCCTGCTGCGCTCTTCTAACCACTCTGGTGTCTGGCTGTGCATAATCAGCGGCCAGGCGATTTGCCTCAACCTCCCACCCCGCCATAAACAACTCCCCCTTACTCTCACAGAGATTGTGGAGCACACAGCAAGCGGTAATAACGACGGGAATATTGGTTTCGCTGAGGTCTAACCAAGTCAGTAAACTGCGCCAGCGCGCTTTTAAATGTCCAAATGCACATTCTACCACCATTCTGCACTTGCTCAGCCTATAGTTGAACAGCTCCTGACTACTGTCCAGGGTGCCTGTGTATGGCTTCATGAGCCATGGCATTAAGGGGTAGGCTGGGTCCCCAAGGATAACTATAGGCATCTCAACATCCCCAATGGTTATTTTCTGCTCTGGAAAGTAAGTCCCTTTCACCAGCTGTTCAAACAGACCAGAGTTCCTGAAGATGCGAGTGTCATGTATCTTTCCCGACCATCCCACGTTGATGTTTGTGAAACGTCCCTTGTAATCCACCAGTGCTTGCAGCAGCATTGAAAAGTACCCCTTGCGGTTTATGTACTCGGTGGCTTGGTGCTCCGGTGCCAAGATAGGGATATGGGTTCCATCTATTGCCCCACCACAGTTAGGGAATCCCATTGCAGCAAAGCCATCCACTATGGCCTGCACATTTCCCAGAGTTACTACCTTTGGTAGCAGCAGCTCAGTGATTGCTTTGGCTACTTGGATCACAGCAGCCCCCACAGTAGATTTGCCCACTCCAAATTGATTCCCGACTGACCGGTAGCTGTCTGGCGTTGCAAGCTTCCACAGGGCTATTGCCACTTGCTTCTTAATTGTGAGGGGTGCTCTCATCTTGGTATTCTGGTGCTTCAGGGCAGGGGAAAGAAAGTCACAAAGTTCCATGAAAGTGCCCTTATGCATGCGAAAGTTTCGCAGCCACTGGGAATCATCCCAGACCTGCAACACTATGCGGTCCCACCAGTCTGTACTTGTTTCCCGGGCCCAGAATCAGTGTTCCATGGCATGAGCCTGCCCCATTGCCACCAGGATGTCCAAATTGCCAGGGCCTGTGCTTTGAGAGAAGTCTGTGTCCATGTCCTCAGCACTCACGTCACCGCGCTGCCGTCGCCTCCTCGCCTGCTTTTGCAGGTTATGGTTCTTCACATACTCCAGGATAACGCGCAAGGTGTTTACAATGCTCACAACAGCAGCGGTGAGCTGAGCGGGCTCCATGCTTGCTGTGGTCTCGCGTCTGAAGGAGAGCAGGAGAGCAGAGTTGCAGTGGAATAGGTGGATGACGACGGATGCCACGAGAATGGATATTTATACCGAACGACGAGAGGACCTGCGAGGTGGATTCATGGCCCCCGGAGAGCAGAGTTGCAGCGGAAGCGGTGTATGACGATGGTTAGCAGTCCTATTGCACTGTCTGCTGCCAGCAACACCCAGGACATAACAGCAGTGATGTCAGTGAGCTGAGCTGAGCGGGCTCCATGCTTGCCGTGGTATGGCATCTGCGCGGAAAAAAGGCACGAAACGATTGTCTGCCATTGCTTTCACAGAGGGAGGAGTGACTGACGACGTACCCAAAACCACCCACGACAATGTTTTTGCCCCATCAGGTACTGGGAGCTTAACCCTGAATTCCAATGGGCGGTGGAGACTGTGGGAACTGTTGGATAGCTACCCACAGTGCACTGCTCCGTAAGTCGATGTTAGCCAGGGGAGTGAGGACGCACTCCACCGACTTAATGCGCTTAGTGTGGATATACGCAGTTGACTGTATAAAATCGATTTCTAAAAATCAACTTCTATAAATTGACCTAATTTCATAGTGTAGACATACCCTAAGAGAAGCAGAATAAACAAAAGATAACCTTGCTTTTTGCTAAGATAAGCCTGGTCAGCAAAACGCCAGATGTTGGAGCAATAACTGTGTCTTATTCAAAGCTGCAAACAGAACAAAGAAGCCCTGTTTCTGTTGTGTTCATTTCTTCTGTAAGGTGATGTTCTTCCTACATGCCAACCTTGAGTTTAGGAAAGGTTCAAGCAGGTCAGTATAAGATATGGCCTCCTCCCACCTCCCTTTCCCAGGGACCAATGCCTGCCTTAAAAACTCAAATGAGCAACCTGAAAGACAATTTTTATTGCCATATACTTTTCAATGTTTCTTTGCTTTAACCCCTAGGTATGTACCCGCTGAACAATCAGAGGAGTTGCTTCATTCCTATGGACCCCAAAGCAGAATTCAGCATATATACATTTTATACTAATACATTTCATTACAGTACTAATTAAATGTTACCTGTTAACCTTGTGGAAGCAGGGAAAGAAAGAGGGGGTTTAAGTGCAGCCATTTAAGTGTCAGAGACAGAACAACTGTTCTGTCAAGTCTTAGCCTAATATCGTGAGACCTGTAAAAGCCGGGCTCACGTCAGAAGCGAGTGGAAAACAGCAGAATAATCAGTGTGACCCAGCCTTGAGATAACGCTGTTTTTGAGAAGAGAAAGTGAGAAAATACTGGAATAGATAGCAAAGAGTCTAAATAAAATACAGATGTTTTTAATTAATGCACATCACAAAGAGGTATAAATGCTTGTGTGATTTTGCTTGTACTCTGGAGAAACTGAGGCAGAGATGCTCTCTGCCAGCTGTGTTCTTCCCCTGCAATTGCTTGAATAAAGCTGTCTCTGATTTTGTTGCTTCCAACCTGAGAGTGGAGTTTTGTTTCTTCCACAACCTGAAACCATGGGCGGAGACATTATGTAACCTTTGACTGTTGGCTACTGTGCTTATCTTGTCTTGCTGCTAGACCTATCCAGAGGTTTGGGATTACCTACCCCGTCATTTCCCTCTGCCCATGGAAAATCCATATAATCCATGGTAATCAACTGATTGACAGTGTCTCTGAGCCTAATAAGCCAGGCGACACTCCACCAGCACTGTGTGTAATAAACTCCTGTGCTTGACTTCTACACAGTGTGGATTTATGTTCCTTCAGTTGTGTTTATTTACTAGCACTATGAGTACTAAAATTTTGTATTAATCTGATTTATACCATCTGTACCCCATGTTATAAATTGGCAGGAAGTGTTTGCATTGTCATCCTCTGTAATTGTGTAAATCAACAGTGTCAAACAGGAAAGAAGCATTAATTAATGTACAATGCTGGGTTCCTACAGAAGGTGTCAGGGCCTGCACACCAAGAATCAAATGAGCCATTGTTAAACCTCAAAGAACAAAGACTTTGTTAATTGCATTCCACCCCACCCAGTGAAGAGAAGACCTGTACTGAACTCATCCCATCCGCCTGAACTCTGGGGGGAAGAGAATGAAACTCCTTGACAGGAAGAAACTGTGTCTTTTTGCTGCTTGGTCTCTGAGGGGCTAGGGTTACAAAGCATAAGCAAAAGATCCCCAGTGCGTGGCCATGGCTAGCCCGAAGGGACGTATAGAGCTTGCTCATTATAGAAACTTCTACCATCTTTTGGAACCTAAGGCTGTAATTCGTGTGTGTGTGTGTGTGTGTGTGTGTGTGTGTGTGTGTGTGTGTGTGTGTGTGTGTGTGTGTGTGTGTGTGTGTGTGTGTGT